CTTAAATTGTATGAACATTCTGGATTTTGCAGAGTTATTAGAGTCCCTTTCCCTCCCCTCCCAAGGAAGGTGGTGTAGAAGAACATCCACATCCTGGCCATGGCCACTGCAAAAAATTAACCCTGTCCTGTCTGAAACCAGGACAGTGTGATACCAGTGATGAAAGAGGCAAAGATCCTGCAATGCCATGTAAGTGAAAATAGACACTATTTTAAAATGGTGCATTGTATTTATATATATACATATATGTACATATGTATTTATATACAGATATATATATATAAGAACAGTCTCCACCTGTCTGCTTCAGGATGCAATCTAGTTAAAGACAGTCTGTGCAACACAGTAAGCTGAGGCAGGGTCTTCTTGATCCCAATGAATTCAGCATTTAAGGAAAAAAAAGGATGGAGCCCAGTATACAGTTGGTGCTCTGTGCTGCAAGAACACATTTGACTTGATGAGGACTCTCCTAATGGAATTGTCATTCCTATAAAAACATGTCTGTCCCTTCCCTCCTCTGCCAACAGCTATATATGTACATATGTATACACACAAATATATATATATATATATATATATATATGTAGAGATTTGCATTTTGTTGAAAGACAAGTTTGCTTTATTCTGTTCTGTAGTAGTTTTGTACTTGTCATTTACTGAGTACTCTGCAACAAAATATGTTCTTCAGTTTTTAAGCAAATTAAAATAAGATCTGAGATTAAAATAAGATTCAAGAGCTACAGGGCTTTTTTATTTTTCTAACAGTGTGAAAAAATAAATGGTTTTAAAAGAATAGATAGACTTTCTGAGGGAGATGTCAGCAGAAAAGTGCAGGCAACACTACAACTCACTCCATGAGCTTTAATTGTGGAGTCCTTCATGATTCTCTTGCGGGTTTTTCTTGGTCTTGGTTTTTGTTCCTTTCCTATGCCCCACCCCACCACTCCCTTCAAGTGTATTTGGAATGTATGGGACTCAGAAACCTGAAATTTGCTACAAACACACACAGAGTGCTTTTAAAGATTACGTTCTTCTCTCTCCCCTTATCCTAGTCACATTTTCATTGGCTGACTTGCAGTTTTAAAATCTGTGCAATTTTTCCGTACGTGCAGTTTGTCCTTTCTTTTCACAGGTGGCCTTCTCCTTTAATTATCTTTGTTAGCCTTATTTGACATTGTAGCAAGAGAAGTGCTCTTGTTACAGTATCTGAGTACCTTGGCAGATGGCAACAGGGGAATTTTTCAGTATTTGTGAATTAATTTCTCTCCTGAAGTGAGAACTTTCTTAGGGTTTCAGATAAAAGTTCATGACCGTACTACCAGCACATGACTTCTGCTGTTTATTTCATGCAATCACCATTTTCAATAGGGTTTTTTTTTTGGTGGTTTTGGTTTTCTTTTCTTTTCTTTTCTTTTTTTTTTTT